ATGAGGGTGCTACTGCACTCCAGCCTGGGTGATGGAGTGAGACTCCAACTCAAAAAAAAAATTATTGAAAAATTATTGAAAAAAAATTATTGAAAAAATTATTGAAAACCCCTTACTTGTAAGAGAAAAGCAATTCAAATGACAATGTATTTCATCAGAAATCATGGATGTCAGAAGGAGGTGACACAGCATTTTTCAAGTGCTAATAAGTGAATACAGAATTTTATCAACCCAGAATCCTACCTCCAGCAAAATATCCTTCAGAAATTAAGGAAAAATAAGACATAGAATAGCTAAGAGAAACTATCATCAGCAGACTTATTATTTTTTTAAATGGTAAGCAATTCTCTAAACAGAAAGGAAGTAATAAAATAATTTTTGAATATTGAGAAGGAAAAAAAGACATGGTAAAATATATGAGTATATATACCAGATTGAGGTGTCCAACCTTTTGACTTCCCTGGGTCACACTGAGTAAAGAGGAATTGTCTTGGGCCATATATGAATTATATAATATAGTTAGTGTATAGACATATACACATAGGGTCACAAAGAAAATAAACACTAAAAAACACACGATGTTAAAAGATTTTGTGGGATCTCAATACTAATTGTCCTGGGCTGCATGTAGCCTGTGGGCCACAGGTTGTACGTGTCTGTACCAGACTTTCTTTCTTTGCTTGTCTTGTCTAAATTATGTTTGACAGTTGAAGCAAAAATTATAATAGTCTCTGATGTCGTTCTAAACATACGGAGAAGAAATATGTAGGGCACTTGTACTGTAAATAGAAGAGGCAATGGAATATAAAAAGAGATAAGCTTTTTGCAATTCACTTGAAGTGGTAAAATGACAACATCACTGACCTGTGGTATTATGTTTATATAAAACCTAGATAATCACTAAAAATGCTATACAAAGAGATATACTCAAAAGTATTATAGAATAAGTTTGTTTTTAATGTTCAACACAAAGGAATGATAAATGTTTGAGGTGATAACTATGCTAGTGACCCTAATTTGATCATTATATATTGTTTACATGTAACAATATACCACACTGTACCCCATAAATATATACAGTTATTATGTATCAATTAAAAATAATACAGGTGGCCGGGCTCGGTGGCTCAGCCTGTAATCCCGCGCCTTTGGGAGGCTGAGGTGAGTGGATTGCCTGAGCCCGCGGGTTCGAGACCCGCCTGGGCAGCGAGACCTCATCTCCATAATAAATCAAAAAATCAGCTGGGCGTGGTCGCGCATGCCTGTAATTCCAGCTACCTGGAAGGCTGAGGCGGAAGGATCGCCGGAGCCCAGCAGGTCAAGGCTGCGGTGGCCGGGAGCGGCCAGGGCACTCCAGTCTGGGCGACAGTGAGACTCCAACTCAAAAAAAGAAAAAAAGAGATCCTCTTGCTTCCAAAGTCTCCCAAAGTGCTGGGATGATAGGCATGAGCCACTGCACCCAGTCAGAAATCTCTTTTGATGTTGCAACCTATAGAATGATTCCTTTTTAAAAGACCTCATACTATTTCATTATAAGGGTGTATCTATTATTACCAGTGTTTTATTATTATAAATGGTGCTGAATATCTTCTATGTATATCTGGAATGTTTTTGTGAGTATATCCATAGGGTAAGTTCCTAGCCTTGGATTTCCTGGGAATTATCATGCTATTCTTCAGTTTAACATTATTTTATCTTCCTCTATTCCACAGCAGTTAGAATAAAATCCAAGTACCTTATCCAGGTTTACCTGTGGCCAAGATCTAGTTAGCCCCTGCCTATCTCTTTGACCTAACTTTCTACTAACTATTCTTCAGCTGTGACCTTTTGTTCTCTGTCCTGCAAAATCATTCTATACCTCAGGGCCTTTGTACTTGCTCTGTCTTTTTGCCAGCGGGGTCTCAATTCAAAGTCACCTTCTCAATGAGGGCGTCTGGGTTTAAGTGAGCACTTCCAACCCTTCAGGTTGCAACCCTAGCATTTCATTCTCTACTACATTATTTTGTCTTCGTTTCTGGAAAGAGAGTTCCAAGCAAGCAAGAGTCCTGTTTGTCTGGTTCTTCACTGAGTCCCAAGAGCTCAGATGAATATGTACTCAGAGAAGATCTAGTGAAAGAATGATGTGGATTTAAAATTATCACATGTGCTAGGCATCTACTTGGGAGGCTGAGGCGGGAGGATTCCTTGAGCCCAGGAGTTGTAGTCCAGCCTGGTCAACATAACAAGACTCTCGCCTTAAATAAATAAATAAATAAAATATAATTCTTTCTCTCTCCCTCCTTCTCTTTCTTTTTTTTTTTTTTGAGTTGGAGTCTCACTCGGTCACCCAGACT